AATCTGGAGGCTAAACTTTTTCTTTCTAAGGCAGTGGTTCTCAAGCACTTCTGGCCCTTTAAATACAGTTCCTCATGTTGTGACCCAACCATAAAATTATTTTCGTTGCTACTTCATAACTGTAATGTTGCTACTGTTATGAATCGTAATGTAAATATCTGATATGCAGGATGGTCTTAGGCGACCCCTGTGAAAGGGTCGTTCGACCGCCAAAGGGGTCGCAACCCACAGGTTGAGAACCGCTGTTCTAAGGGGAACCTCAGTCTTTTCTCTTAAGACTCCCAACTGGCGGGTGAAAACTCACATTATTGAGAGAAATCTGCTTCATTCAAAGTCTACTGATTTCAGTATTAATCTAAAAAAATATCTTCCCGGCAACATCTACACTAACACTTGACCAAAAACTGGGTACTACCGCCTAGCCAAATTGACACATAAAATTAGCTGTCAAACCAGGCCATGCCAGTTCAGTTTGAGATCAGCGCTTTGCCCAAAGGCTGCTGTCTGCAGTCAGGGCCGGGGTCCTCTGCGGTGGCCCGAGGAGACAGATCCCGCCCACAGGCATGGCTGCACACCCGCTGGTCTCTGAGCCAGTCTCCAAGGCCTGTGAAAGAAGACATCGGCGAAGTTCACACTCACAGAGACCAAGAGACATTCACGCAGGAAGAAGTCAGGGACCAGGGACCGTGGGGGAAAAAGGAACCTTGACTGATCAGAAGTCTGAGCAAGAAAGGAGGTTAGAGAGAGTGAGTGAAAGTGAGAAGCAGTGATGAAACTAGATCACCAACTCACACCATACACAAAAATAAACTCAAAATGGATAAAAGACTTAAACGTAAGACGGGAAACCATAAAAATACTAGAGGAATCCACAGGCAGCGAAATCGCAAACATATGCCGAAGAAATTTCTTCTCTGATAATGCTCCTAGGGCAATGGAAACTAAAGAGAAAATAAACAAATGGGACTACATCAAAATAAAAAGCTTTTGCACAGCAAAGGAAACCATCAACAAAACAACAAGAAGACCCACTACATGGGAGAACATATTTGCCAATGATACCACCGATAAGGGTTTAATTTCCAACATTTACAGGGATCTCATGAAACTTAACAAAAGGAAGATAAACAATCCAATAAAAAAATGGGCAACGGACCTAGATAGACACTTTTCGAAAGAGGACATACAGAAGGCCGAAAGACATATGAAAACCTGCTCAAAGTCACTAATTATACGAGAGATGCAAATCAAAACGACAATGCGTTATCATCTCACACCTGTCAGAATGGCTATCATCAACAAATCAACAAACAACAAGTGTTGGAGAGGATGTGGAGAAAAAGGAACCCTTCTGCACTGCTGGTGGGAATGCAGACTGGTGCAGCCACTGTGGAGAACAGTATGAAGCTACCTCAGAAGACTAAAAATGGAACTCCCATTTGACCCAGTGATCCCACTACTAGGAATATATCCCAAGAAACCAGAAACGCCAATCAGAAAGGATATATGCACCCCTATGTTCATAGCAGCACAATTCACCATAGCTAAGATTTGGAAACAGCCTAAGTGCCCATCGGCAGATGAGTGGATTAGAAAACTGTGGTACATATACACAATGGAATACTATGCTGCGGTAAAAAAAAAGGAACTCTTGCCTTTTGCAACAGCATGGATGGAACTGGAGAGCATTATGCTAAGTGAAATAAGCCAGTCAGAGAAAGATAAATACCACATGATCTCACTCATTTGTGGATTATAGAGAACAACATAGACTGATGAAAAGGGACAGACTCAAAGACTGAGAAACAGCAATCAGGCTATCAATCCCCAGAAGGAAAGTAGGGGAGGGCGGGGGTAAGGGGAAGAGATCAACCGAAGGACTTGTATACATGTATATAAGCCATACCAATGGACATGGACAACAGGGGGATGGGAGCATGAGTGTGTGTGGGGGGGAGGTTGGGGGTTAATGGGGGGGATGAGGACACATTTGTAATACCTTAACTAATAATAAAAAATATATATATATATAAAAAAAAAAAAAGAAAGTGAGAAGCAGCAGGAGAAGCACGGTTACACAGAGGGGGTGGTGAGGAAGGCCGAACCCAGCCGCAGGGAGATGCAAACACTGGCCGTGAGCATACAGAAGGATAACTAAATCTCCAGACGTACACTCTTAGCCAAATGATATTCCAGTTCTCAACTGAGTCTTAAATGTGCAGCTGTAGTTATGCCTGAATAATGCTCCAGACTTATGACTGGCACATGCCTGTCATATGTGTGATGTTGTTTTAGTCTGTTAGGGCTGCTGTAGCCAAGTACCATAGACTGGGTAGCTTATAAGCATTAGGCATTGATTTCTCACCGTTCTGGAGGCTGGAAGTACAAGATCGGGGTGCCACCATGGTCGGGTTCTGGTGAAGGCCTGTTTCCTGTTTATAGACAATGGTCTTCACATGATGGGAGGGGCTCTCTTTGGTGAGGGCACTAATCCTATTGATGAGGGCTCTACTCTTATGACCAAAGCACCTCCCCAAGGCTCCACCTCCTCATACCATCACATCAGGAGTTGAGATTTCAATTTATGCATTTTGGGGGCACACAAAGCAAACACTTGTACAAACCAGGAGGCCAGACTATTTAGGGAAGTCCACAGGCTGCAAAAACAAGCTCAAATTCAGCAAAGCGTGTTCAGTTTTCAATATTTATGAAGTGCCTGCTCTATGCAAGCGGGATACTCTTCAGCTTCAAAGGTGTTCTAAGATGACTTGCCATAAGTGTGTATTCTCTGTTTATTATTATTTTTTAATCCCCACCCAAGGACATGCTTAGAGAGAGGAAGAGAGAGAGAGAGAGAGAGAGAGAGAGAGAGAGAGAGAGAGATCAACGTGAGAAAGAAACATCAATCGCTTCCTTATGTGACCCAACCTGGGGTCAAACCCGCAACCTGCGTATGTGCCCTGACGGGGAAAAACCCAGCAACCTTTAGGTACACAGGATGCTGATCCCCCAGGTCACTCGGCTGGGCCTCAGTTTATTTATTTTTGTTTGAGGAGGTGATCTCTGATTAGAATTTTTATTGGATACATTTTTACTTCTCACTAAACAAACACAGTGAGTTGCTAATCTACAGAATGATCTTTTTTTTTTTTTTTTTCTATTTTGCTTCACTTATTTTCCCTTTTGAAGAAAAGGAGCATGTTAGTGTCAAAATCAAAAACCCATTTTCCTCTTTTTGGGTGGGGATGAACTCCTTTAGCTTTTTCTTGAGTGTGAAGCTCTTCTTTAAAAAAAATTAAATTCTTTATTGTTTAATGTATTACATAAGTCTCCTTTTTCCCCCATTGACCTCTCCCTGGCCGCTCCCAACCCCCAGCACATGCCCTCACACCCTGCCCCCCATCTGTGTCCATTGTTTATGCTCATATGCATGCATACAAGTCCTGTGGTTGATCTCTTACCCCCTCACTCTCCACCTTCCCTCATGGGTTGGACAGTCTGTTCGAAGCTTCTGTGACTCTGGTTCTATTTTTGTTCATCAGTTTATGTTATTCATTATAAGAAAAACCCATTTTTCTTTTAAAACTGAATATCTCTTCTAACCTTAACACCTCCCCTTTAAACCTGGCATTCACTTCTTTCTCCATATTTCGCAAGATCCTATTTAATCAGTAAGACACACTGCCTGCAGGAATCAAAAGGCTGAAGGAAAACTGGGTCTCCATTACCAGTTTCTATGAGCAGAGGGTTAGATTAAGCTTTCAGAGTCGCTACACACATGCTCCCTGTTCCTCCTTCCCGCAGAACCCAAAGTTCAAAACACTGTATCTTCCCAGGAATATATTATCAGTACTAACTTGACAATCTTGCTGTTGACAATATTGGCTGTACTTCACTTCACTCCCCTCCTGTGGTTCACAACCCAATCCAGCACGCTGGGCCCTGTGGGTGGTACAGCAGCTGAAGGGCCAACTGCCAGTGGATCTGGAACAGTCTTTCCAGCCCCAGCACCCGACTTCCTGGCCACCTTCCTCCAGGTCTCATTGGCTGGTGTGGCAGCTGTAATTCTGACAATGAGGTTGGTGTTGCCTCAAGTTTTTGTTTGGCAGACTTACACCTTCAGATGCCATTTTCCTTGGCTTGCCTTTCATTATAGGACATGTTCTTTATTACCTTTTAAAACCATATGAGCTCCGTATGCAGATCTTTGAATTCGAATTTTTGAAAGCATTACAAAGCATGACTGATTTGGTGTGTGTTTTTTTTCAATGCTGAAATGCAAGAAGGAGAGCGAGAGCCAGCCCAGATTCCAGTGTAGCCTAGCAGGGTATCAAATACCATTTGTAACTTCAGAATAAAATGCACAGATACGTTCCCTCCTCAGGAGCCTGGATGCAGTGTCTGCTCATATAAGCAGCTTATAGGTGCCAACATACTAAGTGTTTCTCTACATTAGAAAGGTTGTGAGAATCCTCCTTCCCTAAAGCATTTACAGCGGTTCTCAACCTGTGGGTCGCGACCCCTTTGAGGGTAGAACAACCCTTTCACAGGGGTCGCCTAAATACATCCTGCATATCATATATTTACATTACGATTCATAAGAGTAGTAACATTACAGTTATGAAGTAGCAACGAAAATAATTTTATGGTTGGGGGTCACCACAACATGAGGAACTGTGTTAAAGGGTCGCGGCATTAGGAAGGTTGAGAACCACTGATTTAAAAGAATAAATATTTTGTGTTCCAGTATAGGGAATGAGAAATAAAAAGACATATAACTCTATTGATGAAACAGGGATTTTTTTTTCAATAGTTATAAGACAAGCCACTTACAAAACCTGCTTACATGAGGAAAAAGCCTCTCCATGTTATAGCTTTCTTTATCAAAGCTTACCATCCTCCCTCAAAACAGACTGCGCTAGTTAATGTCCATAGAATGAAAATTCTATGCAATGTTATTTATTTCTGCTTTGTTTTTAAAAAGGCCAAATTTGAGCCAACATGGCGGCCGAGCACGGCGGGGGCCAGCAACTGTCGCAGGAGATGATGGAGGTTGACAGGCGGGTCGAGTTTGAAGAATCGGGCGATGAAGAAGGGAAGAAGCAGAGCAGCCGTATAGTGGCAGACCTCAGCGAGCACAGCCTGAAGGATGGAGAGGAACGGGGGGAAGAAGAACCAGCAGGACAAGAGCTGCCTGTGGATATGGAAACCATTACCCTGGACAGAGATGCAGAGGACATTGACCTGAATCACTACTGCATTGGAAAAATTGAAGGATTTGAGATTCTGAAGAAAGTAAAGACTCTCTGCCTCCGTCAAAATCTAATTAAGTGCATTGAGAACCTGGAGGAGCTGCACAGCCTCCGAGAACTGGACCTGTATGACAACCAGATCAAGAAGATAGAGAATCTGGACACACTAACAGAGCTGGAGATTCTAGATATTTCTTTTAATCTACTGAGAAACATTGAAGGGGTTGACAAGTTGACAAAACTGAAAAAGCTCTTCTTGGTCAACAATAAAGTCAATAAAATTGAGAACTTGAGCAACTTACGTCAACTGGAGATGCTGGAGCTGGGATCCAACCGCATCCGGGCCATTGAAAATATCGACACGTTAACCAATTTGGACAGTTTGTTTTTGGGGAAAAACAAGATCACTAAACTTCAAAACCTGGATGCACTCTCCAACCTGACAGTCCTCAGTATACAGAGCAACAGGCTGACCAAGATGGAGGGTCTGCAGAGCCTGGTAAACCTGAGGGAGCTGTACCTCAGCCACAACGGCATCGAAGTGATAGAAGGCCTGGAGAACAACAACAAACTCACGATGCTGGACATTGCGGCAAACAGAATTAAAAAGATTGAAAATATCAGCCATCTAACAGAGCTGCTGGAATTCTGGATGAACGACAATCTCCTCGAGAGCTGGAGCGACCTGGACGAGCTGAAGGGAGCCAAGAACCTGGAGACAGTATACTTGGAGGGGAACCCCCTGCAGAAGGACCCACAGTACCGACGGAAGGTGATGTTGGCACTGCCTAGCGTGCGGCAGATCGACGCCACCTTCGTCAGGTTCTGACCCTCCTCGCCCTCACTTGCTCTTTCTCTCCAAAAGAACTTCCTGGCCACGGTTTTTTAATCCACCCGTTGCTCCTGAAATCATCACTATCAACGGTCACAACCCAATGGCAATAAAAAGGCACTGAGTGATCACTGCCGTGTGTACTGCCAGTCACACTCTGGGAGGCATTGCTGTTCCATGCACCACACGGTGTCCCATTGCTCTGTGTCCTCTCTGAGGGAGGTCACTCAAGCATCCGTGTGCTGCTGGGTGGGCATTCAGGGGTCGTCCCAGTGGCCTGAAGCCTATCAGCCCAGAGCTTCTAGTCTTTTAGACCAGTGATGCCAGTGTTTTAAAATGACATTTTAAAACAAAACTGCGTAAAGGATGGCTCAGCCCTCTGTGCTGTGACCCTCAGCTCTCTTAAAGAGCAATGTCGTGTGCAGGCCCCGATCCTCCTGTTCCCCCTGCCCCTGCGGCCCTCTGAGGTCATGTTGCCACTGACAGATGGTAAACCCACCTGAGGCTCCTCAAAGACTTTCTGCAAAGAGCTCGCCTCTGACCACCTGCAACATTGTCTCCCACTCTGACCCCATCATCGTGTTGATTCGTGTTTTATAAAATTTACCTCAACAGCCCCAGGGGTCTGATTCATCCTCGGGGTCTCAGATTTCTCCTCTGCAGAATGAGGACCCACACACAGTCACCACAGGTCCCTCCGCTCCCCACTTCAGAGATGCCCTGTCCAGTATGGGAGCCACGTGCTGCTACTCATGGCTGATTCGGTTCACAGTTAACTTCGTTTAAATAAAGTGGAATTAAAAATTCAAAAAAAAAAAAAAAAAAGGCCAAATTGACTATCAGCACTCGAGATCTTGAAAAAATACTGCATATGTTGATACAATAATTCATTGTTTTTATTGAGCCTCATAATTATATGTTAATATTTTAAGAAATACCTATCTTGTTTTTATCAAATGCATTTATAAAATATCTAAATGTTACAGGAATTAGAAGTAGAACATGAGAGTCTCACCTGCAAAAACTCTCACATGAGCAGCCTGGTGAACATTCCTTTAAACTTTTCTCTCCACATTCTAATGGATATGGATATAATTTTTACCAAAATGGCAACTTACCATACTTCCTCTTTGTGACTTCATTTTTAAAAAATTATATTTCTTATACATCTTTTTCATTTCATGATGTCTAAGCTGTCTCATTTTTTAAATATATATGAGCTTTGCAACCAAGAGCTTCACTGGGTTTGAATTCTAGCGCCACCCTTCGTAATTCTGTGACTTTGGCAAGTTACTTAACTTCTCTGTACTTCACTTTCTAAGCCCATAACATATTGAGCAAGCCTACCTGAACTGGCTGCCTTGTGAATGAGGACTTACTGCTTGGCACTTGGTAAGGTTGCAAACCACGACAGTGTTGCTACATGGATGTTTGCTATCTTATTAGCAATCCCGTGCTGATGGACATTTAGATTGATTACAATTTTTACTCTCACGCATGATGCACTAGTTAGTGAACATGGTTCTAAGTACAGCTATACCAATGTTGTATTTCAAAAGGCCATACTTTGGGAGTACATTTATTTCAAATCAAAGGTGATACACATTTTTTAAACTGATAGATATTGTAGAGTAACATCCCCTAAATTGTAAGCACTTATATTGTAAGAGTGAGTGATGCCCAGCCAGTGTTGCTCAGTGGTTGAGCATTATTATATGAACCAAGAGATCCCAGTTCAATTCCCAGTCAGGGCCCAGGCTGCAGGTTCGATCCCCAGTGGGGGGCACGCTGGAGGCAGCCAATAAATGATTCTCTTTTATCATTGATGTTTCTACCTCTCTCTCCTTCTCCCTTCCTCTCTGAAATCAAGAAAAATACATATCTTTTCAAAAAAGAGTGAGTGAAAGTAAATTTGAAATTACAAAAAATACTGTACGGTGGGGCCTTGACTTACAAGAGTCCCGACTAATGAGGTTTTTGAGATACCAGCTGTCTCTCGGCGGATTTTTTGCATTGAGTTGATAGAGTAATTTGAGTTAATGAGCTCCTTAACGAGCTCCTTAATAAGCTTGGTCTCAGAATGAATTAAACTCGTAAGTCAAGGCCCCACTGTATTAAACTATTTGTGTGTACATAAAAATATCTTTTTTCACAAAGAAGGAGGGGATTATTGTAGCACAACATATAATAAGTAATGCTTGTATTATATTATCCATAAATATCAGAAACCATTTCTTCATCATTCCCACCATTCTCACAGTTCTGCAAGTGTTTGGACCCTCCTCCTCCAGGAACAGCATTCGTAGCATCTTAACTTCAGATAATCAGTTATTACTAATTGAAGAAAATAATATTGCATTAGGCAGCTACTTATAGATATCTACCAATCAGATGTGTAACAAATGTTTATGACAATTAATAAGTCAAGAAATGAAAGAATTATGTCATGTCTACGGATATGGAAATATTATTTCTGAAACCCAACGTGAACACATTGCCTGACAACTCTACCACATCTTCAGAATTGCAATTGTGCTAGGCTACTTTTCTTTAGTTAGCACAGAAGGAGGGTCCAGTGCCTCTAGTGTCTGGTAGTTGGTGGTACATGTGTAGCATGATCAAATTTGCCCTCCAGCAGTGAGCACTGAATGGCAAATATTTCACAGCTTCTGGATATACGTATATGTTTCTCTCTAGTTCTTTGGCATAAAGTTACCTTGAGGCTTTGTCAGGGATGCATCTGATGCAATGAGAGTAACAGGAGCAAGTCGATCTCGATTTATCAAGATAGAGTACAAAAATTTTTTTTTAATAATGATGAGGCTTTATATCACATTAATGGAAAGGTAAAGATCAAGATTTATATAGAAGTGGCTTGTAGGCAAATCTGTTTTTCTCACACATGGCAGCAAATATTGTATCTTTTGCCAAGTTTTATTTGCTTTCCATGCTTGCTGTTGTTAGCATGACCTAAAAATCTCTGCACAATAAAGTTTTTAAATGAAATAAATAAAAAGTTTCAGTATTACAATTGAGAATTTTATTTCATTCTTTCTCCAAATAGTTTACTATGTGACATTGATAATTTTCAAATGCAAATATTTTCTAAAAATGGGAGTTTGAGGCCAAAAACAAAATTAATGAACATTTATATTTTTTAAAAGTTATTAAAAACAATATGTGCTTTATATTTAACATGTTTTAAACGTAGTCAATTTCCTACTTTGTCTTTTAAAACTACAATTTGTCTATAGTACGATAAGCCTAATTTTTTGGAAATAATAGCCAGCATAATTGGCATTAGAGTGGTTTAAAGCATATTATAAAATAGTCTGTCACTAAACACTAAATTGAAATTTTAAAGAAAATGATGGAAATTGCTGTAAGGGAAAGAAGTAGCCTTTTAAATCTAATTTGTTATGCACCGCAGTAGGGTAATGGATGCAATGAAAGGTCTTTTATTGAGTTCCCATGTCCAAAAGGTATTTAGGTAGCAAAGGATGTTAAGCAGACCCCCTGCAATGCCCCTTTAACTGAAGATAGCAGGAAGTAAGGTATATAGGCCTGTGTCCTCCTGATTTTTATTTCCTTGGAGAACAACTTATGCAAAGGACACCTTAGGCTGCTTAGCAGATCACAAAGGGTGCAGTAGACCCCCTCGCAGTCTGTTGAATAGAGTGATCTAAAGGATGGCTGAAACCATACCGGGAGTTCAATCCTTCAGGTGGGTCTTTTCAAATTCCAATAGTGAGGAGTTACTGGAGAATTGGTAAGGATTTCACTAGGTCCCAGCAGGTTTGAGATCAAAAGCTTTGGTTAAATAAAAGCCTGTTGGGAATTCTTAAACCTCTTTGTAATGTAACTTTAAAAAGTTAATACAAAGAACCCTTACCCTGAAGCCTGAAACATCACGAACAAAGAGTATATCAAAACTGATTCCATTAAGGAAAAGTGGACATACAAATTCACTTAATTTAAAGAGCAATCCAGTTATATTACTGTGGGAGAGAATAGAACGTATACCAACCATCGAGCCCATTTAGAAGATATGCTCATTTCCTGTTACATATGCCAGACGTCATTCTTTGTTGTTCAGATATACCCTTTTAAACAATATATATATTCATTTTCTGAAAGGAGAAAGAGTGATGTGCATTTAAAATCACTCCTAAAGAAGATACATTTGAAACAAATTAAAATTAAACTTGATGGGGACCCATCAGTCAGTTGGTTATCTCTTTTTTCATGGTGTCAAACTGTTAACTGCCCATCCTCCTTAAAGTATTAAATCTTCAATTGATATTGATTGGTAGATCATTAATGAGTGCATTAATTAGAATATAATTTTTATAATTAATACAAAATCCATTTCTTGGCAAGTCACACCCTTTTATTAACCAAACTCATCAGTTAATATTTTTAATGGAAATATTTTGCTCAACAACCATCCACACAAGAAAACCCTTTATTTGATTTTAATGTCTGGATTTTGCAATTTGTTTTGAATCTTTTGAAGCATTATCGTGTACTCAAAGTCTCTCACATTTTCACATCAGGCATGTGGAATGGGTTGGATAAGCACCGCTTTCCTTTTTGTTTTTAATGAATAGGGATACGGAGGCACACGTGGTAGGGCAAATACGTTCTCTTGATTGCACAGTCATCTAGGGAAAGTTTTCACTGGAACCTAGAGTCCCTAATTTCAAGCCCAGAGATTTTTCAAACGAGCAATGGCTAACAAATTTCAAAATGGCAAACACTGCTGGACTCATCCCCAAGAACTCTTTCCCACGTGTGATCATTACCGACAGTGAATGACCTGAAATTCTCATATTGGTAGATAGAGAAACTTGGTCCTTCTCCCCACATTCAAGTTTCCAACTCCATTTTCTCATCTCTTCTTCATTGTGTCTTGCTTTACCCTTGTTCTTTCACCTCATCCTTCTCTGTGTCTGTCATCTGATTATGATAGGAAAACAACTGAGTCCATATCTTCAGATAACATGTGAAAGCTTTGGAGAAAGAGCAAGTACTCCTTGAATGAAGCATCCCAATGAGTTCCCCCCAAGCACCAGCAGTCCCTTTAAAAAGATGAATAAAGAGCTCAACTGTCTGCTTCTAGTGAAAGCAAAAAGAAGCCGCATGTTTTCACTGCTTCCTCACAGTTTCCTCTGAAATAGCTGAGCCAGCCCCTTACCCAGCCCAGGTGTGCCATCAAACGTCCATCCGCCTTAAGCTATTCAATGAGCTCCCTTGGAAGGCTGTTCATCCTGATGGAATTATGTTGACTCAGGTAGGTGCTCTACCACACAGTTCGCCCTTTGCAATAAATAGAAAACTTCAAATCAGTGATGAAGGGCGAGCATGGTTACTAAATCTTTGATTTCCAAATATGTATGTATGAATAGGCATTATGTGAGCATATTCACATATATATTCCATGTGGATTACATATATGTATGATCATACAAATAACCAAACTCATAACCTAACAGGAGTTATTAGAATATAGACATTCTACTCAAACACTGAATCTCTGTACCTAATGGCAACTATGTGAGCTAGCTTACCTTGGGTACGCTGTATTCTTTATCATAGACGCATAAGACCTTCC